CCGTGTAAACATAAATAGCAGAATGGAGGCACAGCTTCTTAACAGTCTAATTTCCTGCTACTGTAGCAGCTCCGGAAGCTCTTGGAGGAGGCCACTCGGGAGCATAGTGTGGGACACTCTCCTTTCTCCTGGTTGCTCTCGGAGCACTCGGGGCAGCTTGGTCCTTCTCCCTTGAGGCCACGGTTCCTTACTTCCTTGACACTGGCCATCCCATTTTCGGTTGGACTTCTAGTTGAGAATTGGAAATTATTGAGGCCTCATCTGTCTGGTTCATCCCATTCTGTTCCCCATTGTTTCCCTCCCTGGGACACGTGAACAATGGCTGCCACACCTGCAGTTTGACAGTAGCCAGGAGTCGGTTCACTGAGACAGAATTCAACTCTGTGACGACTGCGTGTGTGAGATCCCATGCGTCCTGCACCATCTGGTTCCCTTCCAGGTGTCAAATCATGGTAAGCAAGAAGTGGGGCCGAGGTGGAACGCCGGGGGGTCGATGAGGCCTGATTTAGCTGTAGTGCTGTGGCTGGCAGCGTGTTTGCTAGAGCGTGTGCAGACATTTAGTGAGTCCATTGTCCTGAGGGTGGATACTGCAATAAGATCCTGGATCACAATTCAGTACAAGTCAAGTGATTCTATTCAGACCTGGGCTGGCAGCCTCGTTCTTTATCAAACACACACAGCACTCTGTTCCCCAAGTTATTACTGGGTTCCTCAGCCCACACGCACTACAAACACATCTGTGCACAAGAATCCCCAGGCCAGCTGTCTAACCATACTATTCTGCTAAACCTCGTTAAACAATCTGCCCTTCTCCTCCACGGCCTCTCTCCCCTGCCAATAGTTAGGGTTTCTGTGTAAACAGAAGCCATTTTCTTGGTCCCTTCACTCATGCAGCAAGGTCACAGTCCAGTTGATGTGACACAGCCACACTGGCTTACAAGGTGTCTCTGGTTACTGTGCCCCTTCAGAGCCAAACTGCCCAGGTATAAGCTCCTGCATGACTCCATCCCTGCATGGTCTTTCTGTAATCAAGCTGTACAGAAGGGAAACTGAGGCTGTGTCTATACTATGGAGACTATGTTGGCATAAATCCATATTGTAGATGCAGCCTACAGTGACCGAACAGGTTTTTCCATTGGTGTAGGAACGCCACCTCCCTGAAGAACATTAGCTACATCAATAGAAGCATTCTACTGTCAACATAAATGCATCTGTGCTGCGGATTAGGTCAGCATAGCAGTGTTCGTTAGGGGTGTGTTTTTTCCTTCACCCTTGACTGACATAGAATCATAGAAGATTAGGGTTGGAAGAGACCTCCGGAGGTCATCTAGTCCAACCCCCTGCTCAAAGCACGACCAACCCCAACTAAATCATCCCAGCCAGGGCTTTGTCAAGCAGGACCTTAAAAACCTCTAAGGATGTAGATTCCCCCCACCTCCCTAGGTAACTCATTCCAGTGCTTCACCACCCTCCTAGTAAAATAGTTTTTCCTACTATCCAGCCTAGACTTCCCCACTGCAACTTGAGACCATCCAGAGCTCCATCCTTTTTGGAACCCCCCTTTAGGTAGTTGAAGGCTGCTATCAAATCCCCCCCCTCATTCTTCTCTTCTACAGACTAAATAACCCCAGTTCCCTCAGCCTTTCCTTGTAAGTCATGTGCTCCAGCCCCCAATCATTTCCATTCCCCTCCGCTGGACTCTCTCCAATTTGTCCACATCCCTTCTGTAGTGGGGGGACCAAAACTGGACACAGTACTCCAGGTGTGGCCTCACCAGTGCCAAATAAAGGGGAATAATCACTTCCCTCGATCTGCTGGCAATGCTCCTACTAATACAGCCCAACATGCCATTGGCCTTCTTGGCAACAAGGGCACACTGCTGACTCGTATCCAGCTTCTCGTCCACTGTAATCCCCAGGTCCTTTTCTGCAGAACTGCTTCCTAGCCAGTTGGTCCCCAGCCTGTAGCGGTGCGTGGGATTCTTCCTTCCTAAGAGCAGGACTCGGCGCTTGTCCTTGTTGAACCTCGTCAGATTTCTTTTGGCCCAATCCTCCAATTTGTATAGGTCACTCTGGACCCTATCCCTACCCTCCAGCATATCTACCTCTCCCCCCCAGTTTAGTGTCATCCGCAAACTTGCTGAGGGTGCAATCCATCCCATCATCCAGATCATTAATAAAGATGTTGAACAAAATCAGCCCCAGGACTGATCCCTGGGGCACTCCGCTTGATACCAGCTGCCAACTAGACATCGAGCCGTTGATCACTACCCGTTGAGCCCAACAATCTAGCCAGCTTTCTATCCATCTTATAGTCCATTCATCCAATCCATACTTCTTTAACTTGCTGCTTGCAAGAATACTGTGGAAGACCGTATCAAAAGCTTTGCTAAAGTCAAGGTATATCACATCCACTGCTTTCCCCATATCCACAGAGCCAGTTATCTCATCATAGAGGGCAATCAGGTTTGTCAGGCATGACTTGCCCTTGGTGAATCCGTGTTGACTGCTCCTGATCACCTTCCTCTCCTCCAAGTGCTTCAGGACCGGCTCCATGATTTTTCCAGGGACTGAGATGAGGCTGGCTGGTCTGTAGTTCCCCAGATTCTCCTTTTTCCCTTTTTTAAAGATGGGCACATAACCATGTTGACCTAATTTTTAGGTGTAGACCAAGCCTAAATGAGAGTGTGGGAAACAGAGATCCCAAAGTGTGCATCATGCTTCACAAGACAATGCACTCAGTGCTCTGAGACCACACAGTGGGTGTCCACTGCATGCCCCACACTCCTTGTTCCTGGGGTTTCCTCTTTGATTTAAATCATCATGCCTGTAATCTAATTAACACGGAACTGGGTTTCCAGTACAGTTGCCTGTTTGGTTCAATAAGAACACATTTGTACTGAAGGTTAATGAAATGAATTTTGCCTCCATCTAATTCATTTAAAATTATAGAACCAATCAATGCTTGCTAATGGAAAATAGATTAAATATTCATGTCTATAAATTTCCCATGTCATTTTTGATTTTCTTAATCTTTACCTCCATGGTCTGGGTTCTGAAGGTGCGTGAAAGCCCTAATGAAAAGTCGTTTTGGATATTAATTGCAGATCTATCCAGTTTAAGTAAAAAAGACTTCCACGTGTGTCTACTTAATGTACCTTGAATACAGGATTAGTTTCTGTTACAAATGGGAAGGAATAGCAGCCTGGGGCCTGCCCATGAGTGCAGGGAGAGCCTGCGGCTGAAGGCCCTCAAGAGCCAAAGCCAAGAGTGGAGCTGACAGGGCAGTATTCTGTTCGTACAGCAGTTGTTGTCTTTTTAAGAGGGTTTTCTCTTACCATAACTGTGCTTGCTGTGCTTCACTCCCTCCAGAGACTTGGCAGTGCAGTGAATGTGGCAGAGCTTGCAGCAAGGAGAGATTTACTGGAGAGGACAATAAAGGGTTAGCCGTGAACAGTGAAGCTTTTGTAAAATCTAGTTGAAGCTCCTGAATTATTAACGCAATCAGCATGCAGACATAAAAGTTACAAATACACTTTCATTTTATAAGTGAATGTTAGACAGCAGAGTCCTTGTTCCCTTACCCACCAGCTCCCAAGCACAGAGCTTCATGTTTTCTCTGGGAGAGGCACTGACATTGCTAACCCTTTGTTAAGGCAGGTTTTTCCTGCTACTGTGTGTGTGTCTGTGATCTTAGCACCTTTGGCTGGGAACGTACAGAACCTGGAATTGCCAGTGGGAACTACTTGCAGCTGCACATTGATGCACTTGTTGGTTTGGGACTGCAAATGAGTGGTGAGGAGGTGTTGGATTTATTTTTAAAGCATTGCAACTTCCCTTGAATGTCGGTGAGGCAGAGGTATGTTTGCTGCGACTCTTCTACTGTAGCCTCTGGGGAGACTTGCAGAAAACGTGAAATGGAAAAAGTAAAGCAAAATGTCTGTAAACATATTAAAAATGAAGAGTGTCTGTGTTCAGCGGGTGGAAGTGCCTGTCAGAGTTAGTATTCTAAGTGCAGTCAGACACAGCTTTCTGCTGCCTGCTCAACCCACCTCTACCAAAACATCTGCATAATGCTGTAGTCACTGTATCAGAGGGGTAGCCATATTAGTCTGTATCCACAAAAACAACGAGGAAGTGGGTTTTTTACCCATGAAAACTTATGCCCAAATAAATCTGTTAGTCTTTAAGGTGCCACCGGACTCCTTGTTGTTTTTGTAGTCACTGAGGTTCACCCAGAAGATCAGCAGACTCCAGTGCTGCCAGGCTGGGTGAGGAGTAGGAGGGTGAATTCCAGAGTCAGTTACTCAATGAATCTGAATATAGAATCATTCTCTGATCATTGATGAGTGAAAAATTACAAAATATAATTAACAGCGAAAGTGCTGACATGTCACTGGTGGTGATGGAGGCAAGGGAAGTGAACACAGGGCATGCCTCCTGAACTCCACTGAGCTGGGATGGTGGAGGAGGTAGGCTGAACGTGCATACAGAGGGAAGGAGAGGTTTCTGATCGGATGCTCTGGGCAGTGATTTTATTGCAATTGTGTCTTCGAGATTTTTGGTCTCTGTTAATACAAAGTTCTTGTTAGGTGGTGAAGCTCGGGTCTTGTTGGCAGGAGTGAGAGATGAGGATCTCCACTCACAAGCTTTGCGAGCCAGGCGATTAAAAAGAAATGAGCAGCCATTTGGGGAGGAGGGGGAGCCAGTTCTGAGGGAAAACCTTTATTTTAAATGATTTAACTTTGGCTTTAGACTCCAGAGCAACATGTGAGAATTGTCAGTGTGGGCTGGGTGAGCCTTTCTTCAGCTCTGTGGGGATTCAGGAACCAAACTGCAGCTTTAGAATTGCCAATATTGACCTGACCTGAAAGTGCTGCAGGGAAACCTGAGCATGTTCTTGCAGCCCCTATATTCCCCAGCACTAGCTCCCTGGTCATGTATGTTTGGGCTCTGTGATCGCATCAGTTCAATAACTCCCTCTTTCCTTTGGGCTTGCAGGCGTACTTCCGACAGGGTGTTGCCCTTCAGTACCTTGGACGCCATGCAGACGCACTGGCAGCATTTGCATCTGGGCTGGCTCAGGATCCCAAGAGTCTGCAGCTTCTTGTTGGGATGGTGGAAGCCGCCATGAAATCCCCCATGCGAGGTAAGCAAAGTGAGCGGTGTCCAGGGCACGGCAGTTATGAATGAATGGACAGCAGTGCTAAGGGATCAGCATTTCCGAGGAAGGGAGGAAGCTGATTTCATTTGGAAGCTGATGCTAGTCCACACTTGAGGGAGGAGGAAACCTGTGTAAGTGATGAGGAGCAGATAATAGGCGTTTTACATCTTCCATTTGGTCACCTGCTGCTGGGCTCTCTCAGATGGGAAACCAAACTAGATGAGCCTCTTGTCTGATTCAGTGGGGCAGGGAGGTGGGGATGTTGGAAGAGGGGGGGCTTTGGTCTTGTCTGGTGAGGCAGGGATACTGGAATAGGTATGGCCTGATCTAGAACAGCAGTTCTTGTGTTCCTGTGAAGTCCGGCTGTGCTACCTGGGAGTTAATGCATGGCTAACATCTCTGAAAAGGCTGAACTGGCCACCCAGAACTGGTATTCTCCAGTCAGGGGAACACACACATTCTCATCTACTAGAGGTCAAACACCTTATCCCTTGTGAAATTCTCCTTTTCCACACACAAGTGTGCTAATGTTTCCCAAGTATTCCCAGTACAACTGCGGCAGATCACAGCCTCCCTGGAACTGGTTCAGTGCAAGGGCAGACTGGAAACCTAGGCTTTGCAGCAGCACCGGCTCTGTTGACCCTCCCAGTGTGATCACAGTACTGCTGTACCTGTGTGCCCCTTAAGCTCTGCAAGAGCTCTGGCACTTGGGTAAACAGCTTTGTGAAATCCTAGGTACCCAGCAGGGCCCCGCAGAAGTTTTTGCTCATTTTTCACGTCTCTCAGAACAAAGCCCCAGAAGAGGCAGATGACCAGGCTGCTAATTCACTTTTATCCTTGACCAGTATGGAGATGGCTTGGAGCATTCGATGCTTTCAGCCCCCATGGCGTCTTGCCTCCCCTGTATATAACATCCCCACTTCCAGGGGTGGGAATTTCACTCTCCTGAAGGGGAGCTCCCTCACTGCACTGTTTCTAATCAGTTTTGTTGCATGCACTTTGCTGGAGTGGTCTAATGGCATTTCCCAGTGGGGAGCATGGAGCGGATCAGCTCTGACGCTCAGCAGACGCTGCAGGAAGCTTTGGAATTTAGGGGCCAAACAGAGCTGAAATATGGGGGGAAAAAATAAAAAATTACAGTTTCCCTTTCACAGTGTTTTCTTGTCATCTTCCAAAATGAATTCATTTGGATTTTTTTCTATGTAGCAAATACCTTTATGAGGATAATTTCACCTATTCTATCCTGCGATGTTGCTGCTGCCTAGAATATTGCCATAAATACAACGTCAGGTTCATCCTTCTCTTTGCTTTGTAGTAATTTGTTTTGATAAGTGAGACAATCTGCTGCATGCCTCGATATTAGCCGTGAGCTCCTTCCGTCCGTATGGCGCACACCGTGCTCTCACCAGGCTGCAGTGCCTGTACGTGCCTCAGAGTTAGGAGACTCTACAGCTCTTCAACATTCGGTAGCTCTTTTGTGAACTGCCTCCAACCTGTAAATATCATTGTGGTGTTGAAGTGCCCGGAAAGGAACGTACCATATTCTAGGAGCAATCACACTGCAGAGAGACTATCCCCTCCCTGCTCCAGGACGTGATGCTTCTGTGTCAGCAGCCCAAAGCTGTCTTATTGTCTTGCAATTTCGTGTCTTTGTTGCTGTCCTGTCTGACCTCTAGGTCTCTCGGCATTACAGCTTTCCATGTGTCTCCCTTCCACTGACTCTTGTGGATTATTTTTGCCTCATTAGTATTAATTATTGTTATGCTAATGTTCAGAAACCCCGCTCAGGATGTGGCCCCATTTGTGCTGGGCACGGTACAGATACATACCAGGGTACGGTGCCTGCCCCACAGAGCTTTGAGAGAGAGAAATAACCGCAGTGGGTTGGTGGGGAGGGAAATAAATACCCATAGACCTGCACACACACCTCTTTGTTTTTGCCATTGTTCCTGTGGTAATAAATAACCTAAGTGCCAATTACCCCAACCGTCCCTGGGGCTCTCAGTGATTTCTTATGGGCTTTGCTGCAGAGGGAGTTGAAGGAATGCTTTTGGCTATATGAACCTCATTTTCCCAAGCTGAATCTCACTTTGTTAACCTGACTGCATTTCTAACCCTTTTAGGCCCTGTTACATGAAATCTCCCTGCTCACAGGTGTTCAGAACCTCCCAGTTTATGTTCATTGGTGTCATTTAATCCCCAACTCCCCTTCACATCATTAACAACATCATTCAAGAAGATCAAGCCGAGCACAGATCCTTTTTGTATCCTTCTGAATGTGTCCCCCAAACTTCATACAATGCCTTTATTATTATTTATTGGTTATAGTCCTCCAGCAGTTGTTCAGTCCATGTAAACGTACTTATATACAAGCTACTTTGAGCTAATTTTTCAGATAAGATCTTGTGACCTGGGATATCCACAGAGGTAACATTTACTTCACTCCCTTCATCCACTCTGATAATTTGGTCACCGAAAGGTGACATGATGTGTTCTTGTAACTCCACGGCACTGTACATTGGTCATGGTGCTGTTACCCCTACGGAGTTACAGTTTTCTCCTTTCATAGTCAATTCCATTATTGTACTAGAGATGGGAGTTACAGTCACTTACAGGGATAGTAATTGCTAGGATTTCTTTCATTCAGAGCTCAGAGAAGAGCAACAAAGAGCAAAGGAGCTGGAAGCATTGAGTGACTTCTGAAGAAAGATTAAAAGTTAAATCTCTTTAGCTTGGCTCACGACGGGGTATGCGGAACTTAAGTTTGCAATACAGATAGCTGAGGCCAAACCTCTCCTCCTACAATAATACCACTCTCCTCCCTCAGTGAGTGGCACACCTTGGACAGGTGATGTCTGCTGAGAAAGCCCTGGTTCCAGCACTACTTTCACAGTGTAATGGTTCTCAGTCTGCATAGTACTTCACGTCAACTTTCCACCACAGACCCAGCACAGGCTATGCTGTTCCCCCATCTGATTGTAGTGTTATGTTACACGTGGAACAGCTCACATGACATGCTCACTCTTAACTCTTTTTTTCCAGGAGCAGTCTTCACTTCCTTTTGTTTCTATGGTCTTTCCTCCCTGAACCCCTCCCCCGCATGGTGCGTTACATTTTCTAATTAAAGCCAGGACTACACTACAGACCTATATTGGTATAACTACGTTGCTCAGGGTTGTGAAAAATCCACAGCCCTGAGCAACGCAGTTATACCAATTTAATCCCCTCCCCACCCCCCCGTGCAGACGGTGCTACGTCGACGGGGGAGAGTCTCCCGCTCTAGCAGATGGTGCTGCGTCGATGGGGAGGTGGATTAACTATGCTGACAGGAGATGCTCTCCAGCTGGCATTGTAGCGCTTTCACGTGCACGCGAAGACAAGCCCTCAAACTGTAAACTCCTGATGGCAGGGCCTGTCTTTGTACTTGTTTGTACAGTGCCTTGCACATCAACAGCACTGTATAAATAAGAGTTAATCTGTACATGCTTGTGGCTTCCTCTGCATCGTCTGCCATTGGCCACTGTCAGAGACAAGATCCTGTATTACACAGGAATTGCAGTACCAGAGGAGATCATCATCTTATGTCTGTATTTATCCCCATCCCTGACTGGAATGTCACTCGTAATATACAACATAGACAGCCTGTTCCTCTCCTCAGAGGGCTGTTAAAATGCTCTCTGCTTGCTGTACATACAGTTAATAATTGTAGGCAGAAATAATGAAAGTATGGCACGAATGGCTTTCTCAGGTTGCCATGGTTATGTTGATTCAGGCGAGAGCAGCCTTGTCAAGAAGTGCAACCATCCTAATTTTTAAAAATTACATTTTAACACCGTATGGTTGCCTAGAGAGCTGCAGATTTTAAACCCCAGCTTTATTATTGTCCTTTAAGGGACATACTATGGCAGGCTTCATGGGACTAGTAAAACAATTTAGTATAACTGCACTCCAGCAGCAGTGGCTATCCTAGGTCCAGTTTGGCCACTCAGCATAACACCGACAGTCCAGGGACACCTGATACTCCTCCTTGTTCTTGTGACCAGTTAAGCCGATCTGAAGGGGTTCCTTGTTGCTGAGTTGCTGCTTTCCCTTTTCGGTGGGTTTATCCCAGTTAATTTTCTCCTTCTCTCTTGCTCTTGATGTGCAAAGTGCAGGACTGTGACACCCAAATAGCTGATATTTCTAGATGTGCCATTGAATACATGTTACAAAATAGCCGCATGTTACAAAATTCATGTGTCACTTTGTCATTCGCTTCTCATGGGTGTTAATGGACTGACTTCAGGATGCTTATGTACCTTTGGCCTGTGGAGTAATTCTGCCTTTCCTTCCTTATTTTAGAGTCACTCGAGCCAACTTATCAGCAACTTCAGAAGATGAAGCTGGACAAGAGCCCCTTTGTGGTGGTATCGGTGGTTGGCCAGGAGCTCCTGACTGCAGGCCACCATGGTGCCTCTGTGGTTGTGTTAGAAGCTGCCCTGAAGATAGGCACTTGCAGCCTGAAGCTAAGGGGATCCGTGTTCTCTGCTCTGAGCAGTGCTTACTGGTCTCTTGGGAACACAGAGAAAAGCACCGGATACATGCAGCAGGACTTGGATGTAGCCAAGACATTAGGTAGCGTTCTCATTTTCACTCACTTAATCCCTGGTTTAGTGCTGAATTGATATAAATGGAGCAAATTAACAGGAATGGCAGTGGGATAAATGAAGGGAAGCATCGTTAGTGCTGAAGCTGCTGCGCCGTTTCACAGGCTGCTGAGCCACGCAAACAATGTTCTTACTTACAACAGAATGTGTGAGGTGGGTTATGGGGATCCCAGGTACGTGCTAACGGGACACTCAAGGGATTTCTTTGTGGCATCGTGTGTCTGTGAACTGGCTTTTCCCCTCCAGATACTTGGGCACACAACTTTCATTAGGTCATAAACGTAACAGTATATCGTTTGCAGGGTAAAGTGAGGTGTGTGCTCAAATAATCTGAACTACTCAGGGCTTGTCTACACTACAAATGCTTTGCTGCCATAGTTAAACCAGTCTAGCTATGCTGGCAACATGCCCTAGTGGAGACACGGCTTATACTGACAAAAGTTCTGCTTTTGGCTTAATTAAACCACATCCCCCAAAGGATGGGTCATGGCAGCAGGACTATCTTGCTGGTATAACTGGGTCTGCACCAGTGTTCCCTCTAAGCTGCGCAGCCGCGCAAGAGTCACTCAAGTTGAGCTGCGCACATCTGGCAACTTGTGTTTAGGTGCCCCCCCCCCCCCGCTGCTCTGCTGCTCTTGCCCTTTGCCTTGGAGCCCCTGGACAGCTGTTCCCGGGACCCTCCTGCTTGCTGGGGGGGGAGGGGTGGAAGGGAGGTGCTGATGTCAGGGTATCCCCTTGCCCACGTACCCCATCTCCGCAGAATGGGGGAGGGGCGGACAGGGATCAGGAGTTAGACGGAGCTGCTGGCGGCTGCTGTGGTCTGAACGAGCCTACAGACTGGTGAGTGCCGCTCTGCTTAAAGAGACAACGCATGGTCTCTCATATGCTTCTCCAGAAGCCAGCACACACACACACACACACTGTGTGTTTGTGTGTGTGTCTCTCTCTCTCTCTCTCTCTCACACGCGCGCACATACACACTGTCTCGGTCTCTCTCTCTCTTTCTCACACATGCACACACGCTCGCTCTCTCGTGTGCACGCTCTCTCTCTCGCACATACACACAAACACGCACACACACACAGTGTCTTTCACACTCACCTCCCAACAGATACTTGTGTTGTTGTTGTTGGTACTTCCTGCAATGCACATATATTCTCTGTAATTTTATTCTTTCAAAGTGCTGTTGTTTTAGTTTTTTGACTGGTCTATGCATTTCATATTTTTATTTCTCTCTTATGCTTAAATTTAATTCTTTGAGTAGTGAGCCCTAAAATGCCTAACTTGTCCTGGCTGGAGTAATCCCTATGGTAACTTTTAAAATATATATATATTTTATCTAGGTTTTTTGTTTCTACTGGTGGCGCACATACACATTACCTCGATATTGGTGCACATAAAATTCATTCCACACAGGGATGGAAAAAATTAGAGGGAACATTGGTCTGCACTAGTATTTTTGCTGGCATCGCTGTGTCAGTTAGGGGTGTGGTTTTCTCCCCATCCCTACCCAATAGACATATGCTGGCAAAAGTTTGTAATGTGGACTAGGCCAACGGCACCTCACAGGATTTTGAAGTAGTTGTAATAACTCAGGAGAGAGACTGGGGCATCATTGTGGGCCGCTCAATGAAACCACTGCTCACTGTGCAGTAGCAGTCGAAAAAGCAAACAAGATATTAGTGTTCACAGAAATTTGATGGAAAATAACAATTAAACCCATTATGTAAGGCAATGGCATGCCCTGACCTGAAATAGTATGTTCGTTCCTGGTTTTCCTATCTCAAAAGATAAAGCAGAAATAGAGAGGGTTCTGAGGTGGGTGACAGAAATAATTAGAGGCCTAGAATGACTGTCATATGGAGAGAGATTGAAAAAACTGGGATTGTTTAGTTAGAGTGGAGGCAAATAAGAAGGGAGATGCAAATTGTGCAGAGCAATAAACAATGCAGAGGAGGTAGATTGGACACTGCTATTCACTGTCCCATAACACAAGAAGGGAAATGCAGTGAAATTGAAAAGCCACAACTTTAATATTGGTAGAATGAAATACTACTTAGCACAATGTATACTTAACTGGTTGAGCTCACTGCTACAAGATATAATTCAAGCACAGAGCTTAGCAGAACCCAGAAAAGGAAAGGCCGAGAGCATCCACAGTCACACTGGGACAGGATTGAACATAAAATCTTGGCAGGGATAGAATTTCCCTCTTTTGTGGTTTCTTAAAGATTTCTCTGAAATATCTGGCACAGACCCTTGTCAGAGCTAAGACACTGGTCTGATGGTGAAATCGCCAAGCACTGTGGCACAGTTTGACATGGCTGTTAGTCTCTTCTCCAAAGTGGTTCAGGACTGGACTAGCGAGAGAAAGAACAGGTCGGGAGGGAGGGGCTGACTGGGAAGATCCCTGGGTAAAGGTTACCATGCCAGGTGGGATGTACTTTACTTAGGGGTGCTATAGGCCCAGATTGGAGGGCATTGCCCACAGGGTGTGGAACCACAGGGCTTGGGGGTGTCACTGCTGAAGATCAGGGGTTAGAGAAGTTGGGCGAGCTATGTGAGGACTCCGAAATGGAATAGCAGGTGTGCTGCAGGGCAGGACTGGGGGCATTAGCAGAGGTGTGGGGGAGTGAGCAGGGGGTGTTTGCTGAGAACGCTGGCCCCGTGATTGTCAGCACTATGCCTGGACCAAGCCTGTCCAATCCAGCCCTGCATTTTCATGGACATAGATTGCTCACATCTTCAACAACAAGTAAACATGAAAAAAAGTGAGGCTGTTACCAAGATGTTAAGCCAAAGAGGGGTCTAAGGTTACATTAAAGTGGAGTCTGGGAGTTAATTTGGAGAATTGTCTGCTTCCCTCTTCAAGGACTGGGAAGAGAGGAGAACTTTGGCTGCGTACTGAGTCTGTGGCCAGGTTTGGTCTGAACTTGGCCCTCCCAATGGAGCATCCCTTGCATGATGTGTTCCACTCTCTTGGCTGGACTCTTCTAAAGACCCTTCGTTAGCTAACTTTTGTTTTGTTTGCATGTGACTCAGGTGACCAGACGGGAGAATGCCGAGCTCATGGGAATCTGGGCTCCGCATTCTTCTCCAAAGGAAATTACCGGGAGGCCCTTACTAACCACAGACATCAGCTGGTGCTCGCCATGAAACTCAAGGACAGAGAGGTAGGAACCTTGCTAAATAGACTGGATTGGGAATTGGCACTGTGTGGCTTTCTGGAGAAGCACAGAACATCCTCTTGAGATCCCGAGAATCCCTGCCTGCCTGCCCCTTTGCCCCTCTGGGAAATTTGAAGTTATGTAACTTCTTGTCCACCTGACATGTAACATGACACTTAGTCCTGTCCTGAGTGCAGGGGACGGGACTAGAGACCTCTTGAGTCCCTGCCAGTCCTACGAGTCTGAGATTCTCTGATTGCTATTATGGAGACAGCATGGTCCAGTGGATAGTGCATAGGCTTGTGCATCAGGAGACTTTGGTTCTGTTCCCATCTCGGCCTGTCTCTAACCTGCTATGTGACCTTGGGCAAGTCATGTCACCTCTCTCTGCCTCTGTTCCCTCCCACACTTTGTCTGTCCTGTCAGTTTAGACTGGAGACTCTGTGAGGCAGAGACTGCTCTTAGTATGTGTATGCACAGCACCTAGCACAAAGGGCCCTGGCCTTGGGTGGGGCCTCTAGCTGCTACTAATACTATTCATTTGGAGTGCACTAGCACGCACCATGTGCTATGCGCTTTCCATCCATGCAATACAAGACACTCCCTTCTCCAAGGAGCTCCCAGACTTAATAAAACAAGCAACATACAAAGCATGGGGGTAGGAGGGGACAGAAAGCATACAACAGTTATATGTAAATAAGCAAGTATGATTGATTTAGCAATCCAGAAAGAGTAAAATGATTGCAGTGTTGGTGTTGCTGGCTGTTATTTACTTCATCTGAATCTCCTTGGTATTTACCCTACAGCCTCTCAGGTGTTAAACTGGGCCTTCTGCCAGCTCAGAGGAGCGTACTGTATGCAGGCTAAGGGATCTTTGAGGAGTGCATGTCCCGAGAGCTAACCTCTGTGAGTTCACTGTAAGGACAGAGGCATCATTTTAATGTACTTTCTGGAACAAAAGATTTTGTATCCAATAGTTCAGGAACTTACAGTGAGCGTTTACAGGGGGTAGGATTGGGGGGAATTGAAGGGAGGTTGAGGGTGAGTGGATATGTTTGAAGGCAAATTGTAGGTGAGAGGGCATGAGTGTGTGTGAGATTGTGTTTGAGGCCAGGTTTGAGTCTGTGAGTGGGGGGAAAGGGGTGTCTTTGGGGCCAGATATAGTTGAGGGTGTAAGAGTGACCATACCAGTGCTTGGCTGTGAAGCCCCATTTTAGGTGGCTGCCAAGTTTACTGATGTGTAAGCTGTTAGGAAATGCATCCTGCAGTGGGTAGTGGAGGATCTGTGGTTGGGAGCAGGGAGCTGCCAGATAATTTCATGATTATTTACCATCTGGAAAATTTCCCCAATCACTTTCTGATTCCCTGTTTCCGTTCACACATGCCTGGGAAGCTGTTACCCATCCTCTTTTTATAGCTGTGCTGACTAGGGCTCCCTGTGCATTGTAAGTGGCCAATCTACATAGCTGCAGCTCTTCCTGGGGTATTTCTCAGCAGCCCCATGGGCTCTGCAGGGCTGACCCCAGAAGCTGATGGAGATGTAAGGAAGAGCGGTGTGAGGAGGACCATGGGCAGATAGTGATGCTGATTGTTGGAGGAGGGAAGCAGCTGCCACCTGGATATCAGGGGGAAGTCTTGGGCCTGGTGTAAATGCTAATGGAACCACAGGGTGCTAAAGGAGGTTGGAGTTGGAAGTCTCTGAAGGTTCCCCCAGTGAGTGAGCTCAGGCTCCCAGCCTAGTAGTGCCAGGTGCCCAAAGCCTACCTATGCTCCAGATGTTAGGTAGGCTGCTAGGACAGCTCGGTGTCATCTGGAGTTACACAGCCAGTGGCTGCTACCTAGAAATGTATGTACTACATTCACCACATACACGGGAGCCTGCCAGGCAGGTTGGATTTCCTGGACTCTGATGCAGAGCTCATGTGAGGGATCGCAAATCTTGAATCTGGGTCCCCGGGTCCCCCAGGCAGCCTCAGACTGCAGCCACGACCCAGCAGCAAGCAGGGAGCGTGGGCTGGTGGGTCCTAGCTCACCATAAGTGTTGCCCACAAAGCTCCCAATTGGAGATGTCCAGCCTCTCCAGTTGGCTAAGACTCACCCTTTCGGCCAGAAGGAAGCACAGGAAGTTATCCAAGTAACTAGGTGATCCCTGGCTTGCTGCTACACTGGATCTTGCCTTCTCGCCTGATTCCTGAATCCTGCCTTGTTCAGTTCCCTGCTTCTACAGCCCATCCCAGGCTACTGACTCCAGCTTTGACTGTTTGCTTGACTCCCAACTCTGTCTCTGGCTCAGACCTCTGGTTCCTGGTGCCGGATTCCTGCTCTGACCACTAGGTCTGACCGCCTAATTCTTGGTCTACGACAGCTCCTTCACTGGGTTTTATGTTCTATTCAGAGACCATGGTGTGAATCCGAGTGAGCTAATGGCTGGTCTTGTAGCTGGCTGAGTGCTGGAAATGGGCCCTCCACACTTCCAGAGCAACGTACTGACCAGCCCTGACACTCACCAGGAGCACTGCCACCCAAAACAAACAAAAGGGCATAATACAGAAGCAAAGCCCAGACGTTGCTGACTGGTGGGGAAGAGAACTACATCGGATGTGTACACTTTGCAATATTGGGAAAGGGCTCAGGCACGATGGTGAGGGAGGCCATGTCAGAACCTAGAGAGAGAGCTAGAACACAGAGTAGCTCATCTGAGAAGTGATCCTGAGTAGCGAGTGCTGAGTGCTCTGTTTCATTAACATTAGGCCAGTAATGGAAACAATTCCCAGAAGCTGAGCTGGGTGGGTTTTATTTTGTCTGAGGCTAATGCCCTGAATCCAAGAGTGTTTTGTATTGAAACCCTGTGCACTAGAATTCAGGGGAATGAAGCTTATTCACAATAGTTTTCAATTTATGACACATCTGGGTACATAATTAACCGTTACTGACAACAAATGGCTACTTGGGTTTGTGAGAAAGCTGAGCCTCTTGGATTTCCTGTAGGATGTAACCACAGGAAATTAATTTGGCGCTTTCTGATGACATCATTTTGACCACAGAGCTTCCTCTGAACACAAAGCTGTTTTTCTTGGCCTCCGTTGCAGACGTTTTTAGAACATGAATATTATTCTAAAGTTGCAATGGTGTTGCTGTGAATTCCACTAGAAGGCAGTTGTGTGTGTGACTGTATGAGGTAATTGTTTTACCTTCAGCTGTACAGGGAATTGGCTTAGAAGGTAAAAATGCTCCTTTGTACCAGAGCCCTCTGTCCTCGCAGGGAGTATTGGCTTCTGAAGCCTCTGTAACAATGAGTGCACCACAGACTTCTGCTAGATCTAATAGCCCATCGGCCCAGAAAATAGTTCCAGGGGGCTTTGTATCTGCAAGATCCAGGGCCTCTCTCTTCTCCCTGTAATCTGGATGTCAGGAAAACTTCCATCAGCTGACAGGGGACAGGTGGGCTAGTGAGATGAATGAAAGATTTTTCTCCCTGGTGATGGAAAATGTACAGTAGCTTCTTTAGAGAAGGAGAGAGAGTTTGTGCAGCTCCTGTTAACAGCAGTGTATATTGTGACCCGTAAAGTGCAGGGCCTCTTCCCCCTCAAAGAGAATGTGTTAGCAGATGATTCTGCCTTTGGAGGTGGCAGTGTGTGATAGGAGAGGGACAAGCTGGGGTTAATGTGGTTTTCCCAAACAGACACATGTAAGAGTGTGTATGTGTGTGTGGTGGTTTTGTTTTTGTTTTTTTAAAAGGCTTGGCATTAACGTGTCTTCACCAGCATGCACCCAAAGAGACGTCAGGAATTAGAGTAGACTAGAAATTAACATGATTCCAGGAGACCCTCAGACGGAAACTGAAGAGAGAGCAGCAGGGGATTAACATGCCTCCAGCATTGCCCCAAGAGATACCAGAGCAGTGAGCATGGTTGTGTGTTCAGGTGACTGGGATGGAAGCAGCCACAGGTGACTGGAGTCTCTGTTTCACTAACCCTGTCCTAGCAGGATTCAGATTCCCAATGTAAAAGCAATACGTAATGGAAAGTGTGAGGGAGTTGCTTGTGGTGTGTAGAGCTCAGTACTTTCCATTGCCAGTAATGATACTGTATCTATAGCAGGTTAAGAATCTGTTTGGCTACCAGCAGTTTATTTACCTCATTAGTGTTCACGAGGAGGGATTATATCTGCTATGGCAATTGAATAGACGCCAAGGTAAGAAGTGAAATTATTGCATGGCCTTGTGTTACTGCATCATCCTGGTGGCAGGTGCCTGCCCCACTGGCTTCCCAGCCAGGTACACTGGGTGGTCCTGACTGTTGTCTGGAGTTTCCATGGTTCCAGTTGAATAAATAAACAGGTGCCACATTTGTCTTTATGGTGCTCAATCTGAATTTGAGTCCCACTCATGAGGAATGGACTCTCTTTAACAACTAGAAATCCCCCCTACTATTTGGACAATTACACAGGATGCAAGTGTCTGAATTACAATCACTCAGATTATAGGAACAGTCTCTCTTTCTGCTGCAGATGAAAAGGACATGGGTTTCAGAAATGTGATGTTACAAATCTGTCTCCCCCTGTAATTTAAGAGTCTCAATAATTATATCATGATTTACCAAGATCATCAGAAACAATTATAAAGTCTCTTCTGGTCCTGTAGCATTGTTAGGTTTGCCTCTCAGTGTTAATTTCTGACCTCCACTTCAGTCTGCCAGCCATACATACTGTGACTAGCGATCACAGATGAAGCAAATTTCATCAGGGAGGTTTGGCTGCAACTGGGTGAAGTGAGGTTAGATAAACCTGAAAATTGCTGGCTCTGATTCTGCTGCTGGAGTTGGCCAGCAAGATCAGGTGAAATCAGTTAAGACCCAGGCAGACTGCAAAAAGCTACAAGATGATCTCTCAAAACTGTGTGACTGGTCAACAAAATGGCAGATGAAATTTCATGTTGATAAATGCAAAGTAACGCACATTGGAAAGTATAATCCCAACTATACATATAAAATGATGGGGTCTAAATT